GGTAGAGAGAATTAGGATAAGCAGAAGCCATGAATACAGGTTCTACTTTGTCTGAAGGTTTAACATGGATTATAGAAATTGAACACCTGTATAAGAAATAGACTTTCAATGAAGCACAACAATCACGTCCACCACATATGCCTAAAAAATTAAAGGTCTTGCTGCAGGTGACCAGTCCCTTTCTTTTCTACCTTTATAAAGCTTTCTATGATTTTTCTTCATAGACTTCCATTTCATTTACGAAATAAAGATATGTACAATCCAGGAATTAAGAAGATGGAACTTCAAATATTGCTCGTACACTTGGACCATTAAAGTGTAAGTATTTGTTGTTTGGTAGACTCTTATATCCCTGTTTCTTTCTGTAGCTCTCTATGTTACATCATGATAATATTAAAAATTCTAGGTTTCTCTCTCATATAGTTGGCATTTACTCTTTACTTTGCCTAACATGGACTTTGATTTGTTCCTCCTAAACCTAAACACAAACACCCAAAGACAATACTTACAGCATGGGAAGATATCTTGGTTTTTACATTTGATGGTGACTTTTTCTTTTTTGGGGTATGCTATGGTAGAGAAGAGACTAGAGGTTGGGATTTGCAAACCGAACCTGGGAGAGGTACACCTCCCAGGGGAGGACTCAGGAGGCAAGCCACGCTCCCATGCCCGTGGGTGTATGATGGGGACTTTTCATTATAAGAATCCCTCTGTGTGGAAGATAACTGTTTTTCAGATCAAGGTTGCTAATTTTCAGGTTGCTTTTTGTCATTTCTAAAGTTCTAGTGTGAAAATAGCCAAAGGCATTCTCAATTTCTAGAAATTTTAGTTAAACAAATTAATGACCTAATTTTTCTCTTGTCCATACTCCATAACTCACAGTAACTAGGGATCTCACAGCAATTCGGTCAAATAGTATTGACTACAGTTCTTTATTTTTAAGTTGAAATTATGAACTAGGATTGGAGGGAAGAAGAGGAACTTCAACAGTTCCTGCTAGCATTTGTGAGTCTTCTCATAATGTGGATGTTTGGTACAGCAGTGGTTTTTTCCAACCCAAAAGTGAAAGCTGTGAGAGTTTCCTTCATATGTCAATTTGTCAGTACCAATTTATTTTCATTTTCTTCATCTTGTTTGTAATTCTTCCGAGCTGAAACATATGAGCTCTTGCAATAGAATTCCAAATGTTTGTGGTGGTTTTAGTATTAAGAGGATAATTTTAGACTAAATTGAGGGATGAGATTGGAATCACATCTACCCACCCTTACGAATCACAGCTAAAAGATTGATTGCACAGAATACTTCACACAATCTCGAGAGAATACTCTTGATGAAAATTTATGACTCACTGTTCAAAGAAGTTACAATCATAAACTTCATTACTAAGAAATAAAATTTCTATGCTAACTAGGGCTCAAAATGCTCAATAAGATAAAATATTTAAAAATAATAAAACTCTCAAGTTCTAACAGATCTGTAATCACAATCTTAATAAAAGATCTAAATCTAATAGAAATAGAAAAGCTAATGATAACCTAAAATAACAGTTGAATAACCATAATTACATTTTTTTTTGAATGGTCATAATTACATAATAGGCTTAAATAATAAATACTGTAAATAATTCTTTCATATGTTCTTATTCTGCCTCACACAGTTCACTTCAAGAAAGGATGGTTGTTCATTTATTAATGCATGTGCAAGACATTCGATTACAAAGTTTATGCACATTCATGACCATACACTAGCTAGAAATCATCCCATGAATCTGTAGAACAATATTGAATTCTTTTTATTAACAGATCATGAGGCTTCTGTAGATTTACATTAAACTGATAAATCAGGATTGACTGTTGAGTGGAGGAAGAGGAACTTCAAGAGTTCCTTCTAGCATCTGCGAGACTCTCTTCAT